AAGAATGCATGATGAATCCTTCATTTAACGTATATATGGTTTTTTTACGTAGGATTATATGTTATACTGTTTGTTTAAGCTTCTGAGATGGACGAGTCACACGCACATTTTTGGAAACAGGAAAACAAATGGATTTCTTAAGTGTGATTTTCATTATATTTTATTTGAACGTAACAACATCAGGGTAATAATATCCTGCTGTGTATTCAGTTAGCAGCATGAGCAGTCCAGCACTGACAGATGTGTGACCTGTAACAACCTCAACCGACTTCCACTTTCTGCTGGTGGTCTGCCCTCCAGTGGAACATTTCTGAAAACACACTCCTTCGGGCCAGAAGGCCAGACGCTGAACGGAAAGACAAAAGCCCAACAGCCGACTGTAACACATCCTGATCTGACATTAAGATTTACGGCAACAAATCTCTCCGCTGTGTCTAACATTTCCCCCAATTCTCTGCCGGGGCCCTCCCTTTCCGTCCAGTGGAGCAGTCAGCTATGGCAGGGAATGCAATGCAGTCGTGTTTTCCTGCACAAATGTCCCACTTTTCCTTCCTCAGGAGCACACACTCCTCCCAGTCCTTTGTTTATAGGCCGCTAACGGATACAAAGTCCCTCGGTTAATCAGATTGAATTGTCAGTATTAAAAACACGCACTTTGTTTCCACACACTGTTGAAAATCCACAACTTGTGTGTAAATGTATTAATCCCGCTACTTTTTTTTTTTGGGGGGTCTCGGCCCTGGTCGAACATTCTCTGGCAGTTCGGTGGATAATCTGGACGAGGTGAAACTGTAGCTGTAGTTATGTGTGTGAAACACTGACATCAAAATACTTTTCATCTAAATTTTGACACCACAGCTGAGAAAGTGAGTCATGAAACTTGCACTACGAAGTCCACGCTGCTGATTTTCACGTATGTTCTTCTATCAATTCTCAAGGACATTTTTTAAAACTGAAAATATAAAACTTCTTGATGATGAATAAAACCCACAGTGGTCTGATCTCAAAAGAGCTTACTATTAAACTGAAGATTTATATTATACTGCCCAACAGGTAAGCATGAAAACCACCACCTGGCTGGTACACACAACACAACACAACACAACAAAATGACTTTTCAATATTGGTTCTGATCCGAGCAGACTTCTGAGCTAATATCATGATTTCATACAACAGCATATAAGCTCTGTTGGTTTAGGCATTCTAGAGTCTAGTGAGTTATTAGCTATAAGACAAACATTCCAGAGCTTATCGGTGTTTGCCTCTGTAGTGTCTGTGAAGCCACGCCACCTCCTCTGATGGATCCACGCAGAGAAAATCTGCCTCACACCATCACAATCTCTCTTAATATAAGAGACCATGAAGTAGAGCAGCTTCTCTATAACTCTAGCAGCTCAGAAGAGGAAATATGATAAAGCACACAGAGCCATTTTCTCAAAACACTCAAAGAGTATGCACCGTGTTTTGCCTCTGGAGAAGGAGACACAAATCCAAACTGTTGAACCCAAAATTCCTGCTTGAAGATAATCAGTTTAAATTATTTATAGCTGTGTAACAGTACTTCAAAAGACACACGGCAGCATTTCTTGTTCAACACAACACTGGCACACAATCTCATTATAAAGTTCTTATGGTATTTATCTGGAGCAATTCAAGTCCAATAGTCACTTTGGTTTTTGCTCGGTTCTGGTCCGCGCCAACTCTTATGAGAATGAACTTCAGCTGCTGAACTCTCTGCTGGGTTTACCAGCCGACACTGAAGAAAAAATTCAGCCTGTTGCTTCCAGAAACAACACTGAACCAAGAGAAAACCTAAACGATTAGCTGGAAGACGCTGAAATGCAGAATTCAGGGGAGCTGCAGAATCCGGTTATGATTCTAGTATCTACAATAAGACTCCTTCATCATCATCATCATCATCCCTCGTTTATTAATAGATGATGTCATCAGAAACCTCTTGTGAAACAGATAAATAAGACGATCTATGACATCTGCACGCCTCTTTCACAAACACAGAGAAAGTTGTGATGGCAGCTTGATGAGTGCAACGGTTAAACCTGCTGACAGACTCAGGTCGTCCAAACCTGTACGAGCACATACGATGAATTACGGCCTTGTCATGAGAGGATGAGTATGAGTGTGGGAATGTTGAACTTGCAGTGGAACTCGGATCGAGCTCTTGAACTTCGATCTGAACAAGTTCATGACACAAAGTTAAAGTTTAATTAAAAGGTGGGATGCTGCCTGAACTCCCATCATCATCATTAACCAACAATTAAAGAGGTGTGGTGGCTGGAAAAAAAAAAGGTGTGGTGGCCAGCAGAACTCTCAAGAGACACAAACTAAATACGTCCAAAACAAAGAAGTTGAGATGATCAAACACAACAGTCTCACAAACTATGACAGGAAAAGTCAGCGATGAGGCCGGTGCTAGAAAAGCAAGTCAGAGCACCTTGAATTTGACCACTAGTCTCATATACGTCAAACTTCCAGCTGGAGACCTTCTATACAGAGACTGCTCTGGCTTGACAGTGACCAGAGTTAAAACGTTGCCTCCATTATTTCGTCTATCACCTGCAGATACCACAGTCATGTGACCTGATCATATCTTTTACCATCCTGCACAAACAGAAGCAAAGATCTACTCATTTAAACTGAGTTTATACTTCTTCGACTCTCAATGTTAATATATTTACTCACTGATGATTAAGATGGAGCAGTTCACCCAACCCCTCCATCGGCATAGTGGTGAGTGGATAATGAATGAATTTAAAGTCATCCTGAATCTCCAAACTGAACAGAACAGAAGAATTAAAAGCTTCACGGTCTCAAAACTAACTTCTTGAACTTTTCGTCAGTGCCTACATAAGCAGCTTTACACTTTTCCCCAGTCGGTCGCACCGGTGCTGTTCTTATTCCCACACGTACCCACCTATGCACTTGATGTCGAAGCCCTGTGGGGGCCTCAGCGTCCTCCTGGTCCAGCCGTTCCTGAGCACCTGCAGGTGAACCTCTCGGCCCTGCACCAGCAGCACATGTTCGTCCATCCAGCCGAGGAACAGGATCTCAGAGAGGGCGCGCGTCAGAGCCTTGTTCCAGAAATGCTGCATGTTCACGGCCTTGAAGTTGGCGAAGACCTCGTAGCCGGTGCGATGCTGTAAATCAACCGAGAGCACAGCCTGTGGTGGTGATGAGGAGGAGGAGGAGGAGGATGGCGAGTCTTCTTCATCTTTATTCTCCTCTTCATCATCCCTGCAGACCTGAGACAGCACCAGAGCCAGAGAGTGTGGAGCGATCTGCAGGAACTTCTCCATGAACGCGTCAAAGTTTACAGCCACATGGATCCTGCTCCTTCAGGAGGGCGCAGACAGATTTTATTTCAACACTGCACCTGATCTGAGGCCACTTCACACCGAGACCCAGGTGGAGGCAAAGTGATCCAGACTATGCAGCTCGACGTTTCCAGGGTCAGCCTCAGGTGCGATGCGTAAAGACTGAGGAGTGAGAGGAGTGAGAAACATGACACGAGAGAGAGAAAGAGGGAGGGAGGGAGGGAGGGAGGGAGGGAGAGAGAGAGAGAGAACCAGGATCCAGACCTGCTGCTGCAAAACACTCTACAATGGTGCGTTCACGTGTTACTGGTAAACTCCCACTTTCCACCAAAGTCAGCCTTTTTTTTTTGTCTGAATCAAAATGCAACAATAAGTTCAACAAAGGTTTGTGTCAACATTAATATGTAGGAAAAAAACTTGGTGATAAATGTAGAAACACTTGCACGAGGCAACATCAACTTCAGCTGTAACTTCATAATAGAAAAAAAATAGAAATAATCAAGTGACAAAGTGTTTATATGAAGTACAATCTGTCAGCTCATTAGCGCCTCCAGCTGGAAGAACTCTCAAAAGCCATTCACACATTAACCACACACTAAACTTGATTATATAATATTATATTGAGCATTGTATAATATTGAGCAGCAACTATTACTCAGTTGTCGAGTGACAGAAAATCTACTATTTTGATCATCAATTACTCGATTATCAAATTATTAACAAAGTCACACTGAAACACTGTTTTAGCCAAAACAATGACATCATTTTGTAGTTTGAGGTTATTTAATTTAAAAAGTCTCAGTTTTTCTGGTTTTCACATTATTGTGCATCGAATAAGTTCAGGACAAAAATCAATGCAAAGATTCTGGAATATTATGACGAGCATTTTCCCTGTTTCCTAATATTTCAGTCTAACTGATAGATAAATGCATAAACTGCAAAATAATTATACAAATAAAAATGATGGTGGTGATTAATATTGAAAAAAACTGTTCAAACTGGTTAAATGATGTGCAGGAAGCAAAAGCACTTTTAAAAATTCACGACAAAGGAGCAAAGTATTGGACATGAGGTTCAAAGTTCCTTATTCAAACCAGGTCAGCGTTCGCTCCACACACTCTCCTGTAAATATCAATTGCCGCTGTGCAGTCTATAGATAAATGCATCAATGAAAGTAACATTATATCTCCTCATACAAAACCCTCACACAATACAGTTCACACAATCGTGTCAGCTGCACATGATATACTTGTGATTGTGTGCGATTGAGATTGTATCTAGATTAAATTCTCAGCATGAATATGAAAGCATGTCAAGCTCATATTTGTTTCTGTGTGGAAATGTTAAAGTATCTCTGGTTGTACGTGTGTTGACCACAGAGGTGTCAGCCGGGATTCTTTGTGTTCAGGCCATGCAACGTGTATTAGGTGGCTTTGTTGTGGAGGTAAAGTGCTTCAGTGCAGTGAAGGAATCCGAGGCCCAGTTTTATTTGGCCCTGGGCCTCAGGATCTGGTGGCCCAGCTCTGTGCCAAATGTGGAGTAATTCCACTTGTTTACACTTGTGTACACAAATAGACCCTTCACACTGTTTGTGAAAGTTAACCCTGTTAAAATATACAAACAAAACTACCCTGACGTCCACATAAGTTTTTTTTATAGTACAAAAAGTTGATGAAAAGTGGTCTTTATTCTTCAGGAAAAACATTACACCAACCACACTGCAGCTGCTTACAAAACAGTGATATTACATAAAAAGAAGCCAAAGAGTGAGATTCATAGCAAACTATTCAAAGGACTGGATTGACTGATAGCACTGGAATATTTCTGATTGTTAAGTTAAGTTCAAAAATGACCTGGAACTCGATGAGCTTTGTTATAAAATCACTCAATCCTATAAAAGTTTGACTCAGTTTTACAGCAGTCCATTAGAAAATATTTTTAAGGAGTATCATCACATATTTAAACATAAATACCTAAACACAGCCAAATAAGAATTAAATTCTAATTTGAATGACTCATCATATATAACAGCATCGGGGAGGTTGACTGGCTTTACTCATGTTTGCTATGAAGAAGCTTGTGTCCCCACAAGTTAAAGGAAATTCACAGGCAATCGTTCCTTCAAAGAAATCCACGTTTCAGAAAATAGATAATGAATAACATCAGCCTTAACACTAAAAACAAACACACACGTGATAGCTTACTGGGTGCTCCTGAATGTGCCACACAACTTTATCATTTCATCTTCCTATTGAGTGGAACTGATGCATTCGTTCAGGCTCCACACAGACAGACATGAACGGAATCCCAGAAGTTTTCTTTAGGAGAGAATGCAAATGTCCGGGTCAGTTGCTCCAAATATTTTCCTGCAAGCCCCCGTGACAAAATGTCCAGAAAAGGTCTAAATGAGCCCATGATAGAATACAGCAGGACAAGTTCTGGAAAACTCACAGCCAGTAAGTGGGTGTAACACTGGAAGAATAAAAATATCTCAGTATGAAAAAGAGGAGTCATACACGTAGAAGACGCCGCAAAGATGTAAACTTAGAAAGACAATGAGATACGAGAGCTTTTGGCTTTAAGGGCCAAGGCCAGATTCAACGTGGTGTAAATGAAAACCCTTTTTTTTTTTTTTAACCACAGTGGACATTATGTCCTGTTTCCCGCACCTACCCAGACACACCCCTCGGCTGAACGTTGCTTAATAGTTCCTGTTGTCCTTTTCCAGAGTTCATGTTTGAAACTGACAGCAGATGAGTCTATCAAGACTCAATGGTTTAAAAAAGAAAAATTGAATGGAGAAAAAAGAAAAACAGGCACAGAAATGACCCATGATCCCAAATGACTGACCTGATGTGTGTTCATGATAAAACAGATATAAAAGGTCCAACTTCATATTAAACTGGCACCAGATATTATTTCCCTGAAATGTTGTATAGTGTAAACTAAGGAGGCATCTACTGGTAAAAGACTGTGAGCTTGGAATTCAAGGTCAACCGCTTTTAACCTGCAAACCTTCACGTTTTTAACAGAATTCATATGTTATTATTACACGATTGTTTCATGCATTGTTTCAAGAATGATATTTCAAACTTAAATGTGTAAAACAACGTGCTGATGTGTATATGTCAGGACAGTGCAATAAAACTTTGTAATCCCAAACTTGTGACTTAAAAGCAACTTAGCATCACATCTGCTCTGACAGATTTATGTAAACTGAGGTTTCAAAAGATTTTCAGTCAGAATGCGTCAACTAGAATAATTCACAAACACAACCCTGAAGCCTGACGAAGATTTGAGACGTGGAGACGACATCAGGGGGTGAAATACATCTCCTTCGTCAGCATTGACACGATGCACGGGATCTGTTTCTTTGCATTAAAACCTGGTGAATTGGAGACAGACACAAACTCTACCGCCACCTTGTGGTTCACCCGTGTCATGATGTGCTGGAGCTCCAACACTTTTCCGTACTTGCTGATCATTTCGCACAGTGACTGCATGAACCAGGAGCCGGTCATGGTATTCCTCCATGAGTAGTAGCCTGGAGATAGATGACAGATGGAAGATATAAATATTCAACAAAGAGACCATACATATGCAAAAAGATTCATGTTTTAATGTGGGATGTTAACCTGGGGCTGTGGAGAAGGCGTAGAGGAAGTCAGCTTCCACAGGGATCTTGGTAATACCATCGTCTACACTGTCTGTTTCGATACCTCCATCCAGATCAGTGCCTCTGCAAGCCTACTCCGCGTGCACACCAACACAACAAGAACCGGTTACAGGTTAAATACTTAAGCAAAGGCTGAGGTGAGCTGAGAGGAGACGGAACAGGAACCATTAGAATACCTGTATGAAGAAGAGTTTGGGTTTTCCCACCAGCGATTTGCAGCGATCGCCTCGGAAAAGGGACGTGAGGTACCTGAGCTCCACTGAGCCGTCGGTACCGAAGAACACGCCCTCGTCTCCGTGACTCAACAGGACACAGACGAACGAGGCCGAGCAGCTGTGATCTTCCTTTGACACTGAAAATACAAACATGCATTCAATCTTATTTGAAACAAGCTGATGTGAAAAAGGTACATGATGTTTGTATACTTACGTACCAGCTAATAAAACCTGCTTCAGCTGCTCGACTGTCTGGTCGTTGTAAAGCTTCACTTTATAACCCAACTTGTCAAAGACTTTCATCGCGTTGGCCGCATCTACGTCTGTACCATTCCGCTGATTCATGCCTAATGTAAAAAAAATACATTGTTCTTTTAACATACAATGAAAACACATGACACACAAACTTATATTTCATCTGAGCACAGCTTGTAAAATGTTTTTGCAAAGCCACAGAATTATAATAATAAACTTTATTTATAACAGAGTTTACAAAGTGCTTTGAGAGCAAAGCAAGAGAAGTAAATACAAATGTGAAAACCTGCTGGATGGTTCATTCTGATAAACACAAAACTTCTGGTGACAACATGTCTTCGACCTAATCGGCCGGAAAAGGTGAAAACACCAACACAGGTGTAAATAACTAAATTAGTGATGGTTGAATTCCATTCTCTTCACTGTCACGACATACTGGGAAACTTGAGTCATTGTTATGTAATTAGTTATTGGTAATAACACACTACTGCTAACAGTACATGATATAATATGTATTAGTTAATACTTATAACATACTAATCCTAATGGTATATCAGTACTTCACAGACACAATTACTTAAAAATGAATACTAATGATATATTATGAGTCGATACTCATTGTATATCGTCTGCATTTAATGCTAACACTGTCTGCTTTGAGCCTGCACAAAATTTAGATTTTACAATTTCCCTGAAATGCAAATTTTGAGTCAACATGCTTAATTTTAAACTACACCATTGCTTCCAGGCCGCTGTGTGTTTGGGGGATTGAACATTTCTAATATGTCATCTACAGTAGTTGAGATCCTCTTCTGCCCTGTGAACTAATCACTAACCAGTCACACAAATTCTTCTTGGGCCATTCCCATCCTTTCTATGTGGCTCTTGTAAAGATGATGAGGGGAATTCTGAGTATGCACAACTCTGTTAAAACGAGAACCTCTTCTGGTTGATCAGCAAGAAAGAATGAAAAGAACCTGACAGGCTGATATTTCCCCCTTTCACATGGTCTGGCTCTTAGAACATCAATCTGACTGTTGTTGAGCGAGCAGTCATGTGTACTCAGTTAGTCCTGCTAATCAAGTTTGTTAAACACCGCTCTGACAGGAGGACAGGACAATAACAGAGTCTGATGCTCTAAACACTGAGGACAGACTGAAGCTGTGTTTACGTGCACTGAAATCCAAGGTCCTCTCAGCCAGACATTACAGCCTCTTTCAGTTCGAGCGGCTCTTTAAGCTCAGGTCGCAGAATGTTCCTGTTTCCGAGGACTCAAGGTTTCTCACTGTATCTTGCAGACATCAGATCTTTATGTCCTCGGAGAAGAAAGCTGCTCGATACAAACCCTCTCCTCTACAGCCCCTCAGAGGGCAGAGGCAGACACGGTCTTGCTTCACAAAAAGATTATGAACACCCGCAGGACATAACAAAACACGTGATGGGTTTCTTTCTGTTCACCATCGTCTTAAAACAACGACATCAAACTTTGAAGAGGAACATATTAAACCATAGTTACAGTATGTGACTGCAAGTCATGTGAGTAACCTCAACTTCCTTTGTGATACTGTCAAGTTATTAAAGTTTATCAAGATTAAGATTCCTCTTTATGGTTTATGTTATAAGAAAGAAGAATGACACAAGAATTGTGTTGCAGCTGCCTGTTTGTGTTTATCCTCCGCAGACTTTATTGACCATGATCTAACTTGAACATCTAATTAACTGGCACAGGATACAGTGGAACTGTATCCACAGCAACAAGTGTGAACTGGGTCCCAGTAGCACACCTATCATCATCTAACGAAGGTGTTGATGCTCCTTCTGATGATTCACCTGCTCCCTCACATTAAGTTGCGGAGCCTAGCGAGACGCCTGGGTGTCTCATGTACGGAGGTTTGAGTCCTGCAGCGGCCACAGCTTCAGTTGTGACTCTCTCTCTCCTCCTTTCACACCTAAAGTCGGTCCTATCAATAAAGGCCATAAAAGACGTGTATGTTGCTGCCCAAAGACTGAACCCTGGAGTTCAACCCAACCAACAACTCGCTGAACAACATCTGAACAGAAACTAATCCAACAAATCTAGGAGACCAAGTGGGAGATGCTCATGTACACATAGTGGAAACTGGAGACACCACAACAGAGACAACTCGGGCACGTCCAGTGACAGCTAACACCGAACTGCTACTCAAGGTTTTATAAGTGGACATTTGAGCCACTTGACCCGCTGAGGCTGACTGGTCACTTTAGACTAAATCAACTCAGCATTTCAAAATGGAACCTCCTAAAGCCCCAGTGTGTCTGATTCTGGATTGACAGAAAGAAGAAATACAAGAAATAAATTCTACATTAATGTTAAACGTTTTCTGTGCAACCACGAGAACTGAGCTTTGTGTCAAAGCACACCGGGGCATTAAGAGGACTGATATCTACGAGTGAGTGTGATTTGGAGGCTTGTTGGAACAGAAGGGCCTCGGTGGACGCATGTGCCGTTCCTCTGAAAATACACAAACCACAGCTCCGCCCAAATAAGCAGAACTTCAGTATTCACCTGTTCCCCTGTCGAAGTTCTTGTTGTTGATGATGATGCACTGGCCGATGCTGGGGAACTTCAGGCTGTATCTGAAGCTGTGGGACTGGGCCTGGGCCTTGGCGTCCACTTCCACAGGAGCGGACGAAGACCCGTCTGACCTGGAGGACCACAAACACAACTTCAATTAAACAATCAGTTTCTGCCAAAGTCACGTGTAGGACCCAGATCTCCCAGAATTCTGTCTGGGCTTAAAAAAAACAAAACAAAAACAAACATGGCGGCCTCCTGATGTGAAATGTAAAAGACTCATTTCAGGGTTGAGATGAAACAGTTGGTTGATTTTTCAGATGTTTACACGCGAGTGAAAACTTCACCAGTGTTGTTTTCTGTTCGACACACCCGTTCACCTGACACGTGCAGCTGGAAGCAGCTCGGGGGGTTCGAACACGCAGCAGCGGGCAGGAGGTGATGAACTGAACTGAGGCGTGTGGTCTCACATTAGCTCGCTCCGCTAACAGCAGATAAACAGCTAACTAGCTAAACGAGCTCACCGCTGCTCGTCGCTTCTCTCCGCGTCCGTGGAGTCTCCTCCTGCTCGTCCAGCTCCGTTAGCCGACATGTTCCTTCTCCTCCAGGCGAGACACTGAGGAGGACTCCTGTGTTTCTGGATTATAAACAGTCTGTGTTCCAGGAGACAGAGGAGGAGGTGGAGGAGGTGGAGGAGGAGGAGGCAGCTCCGCCCGGCGATGAAAACAAAGGATGATGGCGTCAGGAGGCTCGTTTTATTCACCCAGGCCTCCCCGCGCGAGAGGAGACTGACTCGGCGCTGACCCCACCCCGCTGGTAGGGTGTCTCCAACACCGGCTCCGCAGATGTCACCGCACACGTGGTTTGTTTTAGTTTAGTTTCCCTCGTGTATTCGGTCAGATCACAGTGGATGCTGCTCCAGTTTAATTTCATCGAATCTAACACAAGTGAGGAAATCAAACACAACTCGAAACACTGGAAGATAAACAACACGTGTACAAAAAACTACGTCTCAGAGGAAACGGACAGATGTCCCTGGAAGTCCACTTCCGCCTCTGTGATGAAGGAAATAAAGATCCTGTGATTCATTCATTCTTAGTATCTTATATTATGACTTAGTGTCTAATTGTTATGACTTAGTATCTAATTGTTATGACTTAGTATCTAATTGTTATGACTTAGTATCTAATTGTTATGACTTAGTATCTCGTTG